TTAATTTTAATTATTAATTATTATCTTTTAACATATTAGCAACTTCTTATTTTTTCCTTTAAATGTTTTAAATAATTGAATAAATCGAATCTGAAATAAATATTTATACAATTAAATATTTTATGTAATCGAAAAAAATTTATAATTAAATAATAAATTTAATTTCATAATTACCAAAATAATGAAATTAATAATTTTAATTATTAAATATTATGTTTTAACATATTAGCAGCTTCTTATTTTTTTCCTTTTAATTTTATTAATAATTGAATAAATCGAATATGAAATACATATTTATAGATTTAAATATTTTACGTAATCGAAAAAAATTATATAATTAAATAACTAATTTTAATTTGATAATTACTTATAGAATTAGCAAATTCTTGTTTCCTTTTATTTTTTAATTTAATTATTTGTTTTGTGTAGTTGTTATAATTCGATTCACTTGCTGTATTTCATTATCTTATATTTGAAGTGCAGATATTTAATGGATTTTTTTTTTTTTTTTTGCAGCATTGAGTATCACTTAGACCTCACATTGAGATATATCCGGGCAAGGTTACCTGGAATGGTAACCTTGACAGTTACACAGCCGTGCTGGAGTTGTTGAATGAGCAGCATGCAGATATGCTTTAACGTTCTTTTCTTTGACTCCTGTACAAGTTGAGAGATGTACAATTTTCAGGGCAGATCCTCGATGCCCTATTGTGTCGGTTGCGTAGTCTAGTCGACAACGATGCTCTCCACTTCGATCTCGGGTGTAAGGTCGTCAGTTTCTCCATGTTCGATTTTGCTCTCATCACTGGACTGGAGATTACGTTTTAATTTCCTTTCGTTTTAATTTTTGTATAAAAAATGAAATAAATAATTTTAAATTGATAATTACGATAATGAAATATTATTTTTTAACGTGTTAGAAAATTCTTATTTTTTTTCCTTTTAATATTTTCATTACTATAAAATTCTTTAATTAAATATAATTTGTAAACTAATCTTTCATTTT